TACAAGCAATTTAGGTTTGGCGAGGCTGCACGCTTCGCATTTTCGCCATCGGTGACAACGAATCCGGGAAAAACGAAGAGATCCGCAAAGGACTGCAGAAGTACATCTACATGCTAAGGATTGACGCTGAAGTTTTTGTGAGTGCTTCTGAGTCACTAAATATAGTATGTAAGCTCTGTATAAAGACTAAGAGCATCCTTCTAGATGGTAAATCTACTCGACATGGAAGTTTCGGATGAAGTGGTTGAGAAGACGGCAGAACTGGAGAAACGACAGCAGAATATTAAGAATGAAAGGGTTTGTTCAAAGCAAATTTTAGGTGACCAAGTAGTCTTAGGATATATGACAGTAACTTACGTATTTTAGCAACTAACAAAATTTCTTTCAAGAGCATTCGCCTTCAGGATTTCAACGAAAAAAGTAGCGAAGTATGTGAAAATGAATTATTCTAGCATTTCCAGAGAAGCAGATCACGCGAGAGCAGTTTCCTAAATGAAGCATACAACAATGAGGACACGATCAGCAGTAGGAAGCTTCGATTCAGTAAGAAACTTTGATTTGCATTAATGTTAAAATTTCATGCAAAATTTCATTTTCCACTTAACAAATTCCAGAAGTTAAAATTATGGCAGTATAAAAGGGTGACTGTACCAAACACATCGCTCTGTTACAACCCAAACGTCTTCTCAAAAATTTACCCACTACACTGATCTTAGGGTTTGAGATGGTGCTAAGAAAACACTGTGCTGTATTAACGTCCTTTTATTTCGAAACAACTCATCATTTCTACAATTTCTAATGACAAACAATGGCGGTGCATTGCGGTATAAGTCATTTCAGACCCTCAAAAATTGTTGCCTATAATTTCCGTAGAAAAAAAATCGGTACAAGGTTTTGATTTCTAATCAATCAATCATTATCAAATGTACCTAAAACACTAAGCAGCAAAGTTTATAAACTCTAATTCTCCCGTTTTCCAGATGACTCTGTGCGAAGCTTTACCCCGATTGTCATCAATATCAACGAGGACGCTGAAACTTCCTTTATTGAGTGAGTTTTGCGATAAGAGTCTCTGTAGTTAATTAAATCAGTAGATATTTGGATAGCATTCGAGCAAGCGC